CAGTGTTTTTATTTGTCATGTCTGAAAAGGTGTTTATAGTATTGATACCACATTTGGGCATTGAAATATGATGGGCAGCAGCTGAGAAACTCAGCAGAGAACTGTGACACAAAGCCACGTTGCACTTCAGGGATGGACAGAGTTGTCCATCATTTAGAAGTGTCCGTGCATAGGACATGGATACAGAAGGTGTTTATGGGACAATTCACCTGTCAGGATCTCTTTGCAGAGTTGCTTGTTTTACCCTCAACCATCACACACACTTAACTTTGCATTGAAGGTAAACCACTGGAATGGTTTTGCTCAGTTTGTCTTGCTACATTTTTTGATGGTAGATGTGTTTCCCTGGACTTGTTTTGTCCTGTGGAAGTCTAAGGAGGAAGAGGGAGTAAAGGGGAGAAGGAGAAGGCTCCAGTTTTTATCTCGTGCCTGGAGTAAAATCATTGTTGGACACATTTCTGTTGGTTTTTCATCTGCAGAAGAAGAACAATGTCTTTGAAAACCACAAAAGAAACCTCCAAACTGTTGATTCAAGGCCAGGTTGGACAGGGATTGGAGCAACCTGGGCTAGTGGAAGGTGTCCCTGCCCATGGCAGGGGTAGGAACAAGCTGAGCTTTAAGGTCCCTGCCAAGCCAAGCTGGGACCTTTCAGTGGTTCTGTGATAAGAGTTTTGTTGCTGTTGCGTGAAAAGTGGCCACTGTTTCAGTTTATTGTGAGAGTGAAATATTCTGTGCCATTCTCCACCATTCTGTGACCCTGCCAGATTTATATTTTGTAAGTGGAAATGAATTTAAATATTTTTTGAGGGCTACAGAGAGAGGCTGTACCGTGCTGATAGTTGGGAGAACAGAAGATTTGGTGGCCTTACTAACTACCAATGCACCCAGTTTTCTCCTGACATCCTCCCAGTGTGCCTGGAGGAAGGGCTGGGGGCATCACTGAGGGGCCCAGATATTGGTTGGCCTGCACTGGTTGGAGTGACTGGCTGGTGAGCTCTGTCATGGGTGTGCTGGGGGAAGGCAGAAATCATGCTTAACACCTGTTTTCTTTCTCTTTCTGTATCAGAAAACATGGGTTCAGGATTCACACCAAGCTGCTGCTCGTGTCACGCTCATTTTTCTTCCCTTTGTGCATTCTCAGCCCCTGTAACCTGCTGCTGGGAAACAATTTAATCAGTGGGCACCTGCACTGCTAATAAACTCTGCCTCCTGCTCTCCAGAGGGTCAGGAGATGTGGGCACAGGGCCCCAGATGAGCACAGACACCTTCCACTCGTGTCATGTCTTTACTGACAGCAGCAATCTCTTGCAATTAGAGTCCTGCAGCAGGTATTTAACCCGGGGGCAGCAGCTGATTGTCTGTATTTAAGTTCTTTCCTCCTCCTGAGCTCTGTGTTCAAACCCCAATGCCTCACCATGGCTTCTTTTGCTCTCTGTTCTCCTGGTGGAGGGGTATAAAGCCATGACAATTGGTATTGATAATCCAAATCAACCTTTTCTTTTCCACACCTCACCTGGAGCTTGAGGACTCCAGTGAACAAAATGAGCTCTGTGACACTCAGTAAGGAAAGAGCAAAACTATACCCTAAAAGTCAACTTTTCTGTGAAATTTTGATGGCAGAATAAGCAGTCCCTGAACATTGCACATCACTGTTGGGCTGAGGACACAGGGCACCACTGAAGGATCACTGGGAGAGTTTGCTTCATTCAGGCCACTTGGGATCGTTGAATCATTTAGGTTGGACAAGGCCTCTAAGACCATCAAGTCCAAACCCATCGCTAAACCATGTCCCCAAATGCCACATCTACACATCTTTTAAATGCCTCCAGGGATGGTGACTCCACCACTTCCCTGGGCAGCCCTTTCCCTGAAGAAACGTTCCCTGATATCCTGTCTCAACCTCCCCAGTGCAGCTTGAGGCTGTTCCCTTTCATCCTGTCCCTCGTTCCCTGGGAGCAGAGCCCGACTCCCCCCAGCTCCCTGCTCCTGTCAGGGAGTTACAGAGAGCAAGAAGGCCCCCCATGAGCCTCCTTTTCTCCAGGCTGAGCCCCCCCAGCTCCCTCAGCTGCTCCTCAGCACCCTTGTGCTCCAGACCCCTCTAGACTTTCACATCCCAAGTGCATCAAAAAGGCTGCTGAGTGTTCGCAGCAGCCCACCTAATGACAGGTAGCAAAGCACCAGTGGCTGATGTGGCATGAAAAAACACTGTTCAGTCCTTGACTTTGATGTGAACTTTCAAAATGTAATTAGTGGTTCAGCTGGGCTGAAATAAAAATGTGCATTTGCACAGAGAAATCCCAGCGACTGCAATTTTCCTTGCATGGGTTCAAGGCTCGTTGTAGTAGATTGGTGGCAGCTGTTTCATTGCTCTGACCTCTTAAGAAGTCCCTCTGGCTTCTTTTCCCAAGGTCTCAGGACAATTAGGAAATTTTACTTCAGTTTATGCGGGTTACATTGATGTCTTTTTATATCTGACCTCTTAAATATTCAAATTGGGCCAGTCCTGTTTCTGCCCTGCTTTGGTGGGTATCTTTGTGTAGCTGAAGCTGAGACACATATTGGCAGATTTTGTGCCACTAGCCAAGTACAAAGTTACTAATTTTCAGGCATCTTCTTGGATTATTTGAAAGCTATAATTCCAAGAATACAGAAATGGAGACGTTTGCCCAGTTTCAAATATTCCCCACTACCAGAAGATTGTAGACAAATTATAAACACTTTTTCTTTTTTGGGGGGGAAAACAAGTCATTAACAGATTATGCAAAAGGGGTGTTGTTAGACAGTCAGACCCCAGGGATAGGTACTACAGAGCTTTTGAGACTGAATACTTACAAAGCTGACATGGAGAAGGAATTATATGGAGAGGACAGTAGGACCACTGTCCTTTAAAAACAGCAGTACAAAATCTCAGCTTTGAAAATGAGGTTTCAGTGGTTTCTGCTACAGAGAAAATCACTGTAGCAACAGGAAAACATTTTCAAAATTATATAGTCTCAGCTTTCAGAAAAAAAAGGAGATTGAAGCTGAGAGAAGGGAACTGGAGAGAATGTAAAGCTTTCCTGGGCCAGCTTCCATTTGTTGATCTAATTCCATTTTGGTTTCCTTAAGCTAAAATTTAAGTAGTTTTTACTTATGAATTTACTTTTTTTAGGTTTTCTTTCCATTTGATGCATCTTGGAATGAGTCTTGGGCTTACCTTTACTGTTTCAGAAGCTGTTGATTTCCCAGCTGGATCTGTGAAAGATTTCACAGAACCATTCTTTTGTTCACCTCATTTACCGACACAATTCATCTCCAGAAATGTGCATTCCGTGGATTTATAGTAAATGAATGCTCAGCACCTAATGCTGGGTATATATGTGTGTATTTATGCATAGAAACTTCCTGATCTCTAAATGACTTTTTTTTTTTTCCCCACACAGAGTAGTAAATACTCTCATTTAGGAGGTGTTTTCTGGATGCTACAGGATTGACATGATTTGTATGGAAACCTGAACCACTTGCTAACTTTAGACCCCTGGTCTTTTAATATCCATCCTATTTCCAAAGTGTCTGCATATGTGTGTGACTATATAAAGATGCTGAATATTTTCCATTGCCAGTCTTTATGGGATTTTTAGCAGTAACACAGAATATGCAGGTAGTTACAGTGTATTTTCTGCTCGTGCAGGAGCAGATTGAAGTCGGTATGGCTGGTGCTTTACTTTCAGGAATTACTGGAAGGCTTTTTTATCCGCTTGAATTATCTTTCAGATAAGTGTGACTAGTAGTCAGCAGTTCTTCCAACTTTTTTGTTCCCATGAAAATGTTCCTTTCATAGGTTAAAGTCATGAGAGAACATGAGAAGTGGGCAGAACCCTGAATTGTGCCATAAATCAAGGAACTATATGTGAAATTACGTATTTTCTAATTACCTTGCTTAGATTTAGATTGAGCAAAAAAGCAAATACAAGTTGAGCTGTCCAAGTTGAAGAACTGTCAGATAAACAAACTGTGACATCTGTAGTATTATCACCATCTGACTTAATCTCAAACACGGATTTTACTCACTCATCCTTCATTCTTTATATCCACATGTCTAGCAGTACATGCATTTATATTTTATATAAAGGGCAGAGTGTAGTCAGAGCATTTGAGTTATGCTGTTAAAAATAAATTAAGGAACAGCAGGTGAAAATGATTCCTACACATGAATATTCAAAGTGTACCTCAGCCAGATACTGCAGAAAGAATAATAAAGAGCAGAGAAACTTTGGTGGGACCAAGGCATGGAGATAAAAGTTTCATTGGCACAGAGTTGAGATGGCTGAGAAAACTTAATCCAGGAGTGGCAGGATCTGCTTGAACACCCCAGAACTTGAACACCCCACTGCCAGAACATTCAAGTGTTTGACAAATGAGGGGACAGTAGCACAGGGATGTTGGAAGCCCACCAGTCAGGTTCTTAGTCTTAGTTCTTGCACTTTTGGGCTTCAGTCTCTGAGCAGAATGAGTTCAAGGGCAGCAGGAGGGTGTAGGGACTGCAGAGCTGAATTGAAAGCTGAAAGACCTGAGTGCATCCCTCCTCCAGGGGTCATTTGCTGTGTGTTTGCATCACTGAGGGTTGGGCTCACCAAGCTCCTTGGGCACTGTCAAGTAGACCCTCAACTACAATTATTTTTGTTTTTTTTATTTTGGAAGAATGAAGAAAGTGTAACTTTCCCACCCCTTACCTGATGGGATCATGTTGCCATTGTCAGGTTCAGTGAGGTTTTACAGTAGCCAGGAGCATGACCACTGCTCAGGGCCTCGTGGGAGGAGATTTCCAGGGAGAACTCAGGAGCCAGAATGCACTTGCAGATCCGACATTCATTTCCTGTCCCTCATGCACTGCACAGACAGGAACATTCCCAGCTGTGAGGTGCTGGGCTGCTCTGGATGAACAGAATGAAGCCCGTTAACGGATAACTGACTCGTTCTAATATCGAGGTGTGTTTTTTTTCTCTTTTCCTGCTCCGCAGATCCCGTGCACGGCCCCCAGAACGTGGAGGTGGTCGACATTCGGTCGCGGCAGCTGACGCTGCAGTGGGAGCCCTTTGGCTACGCCGTGACCCGCTGCCACAGCTACAACCTCACCGTGCACTACCAGTATGTCTTCAACCAGCAGAAGTTCGAGGCAGAGGAGCTCATCCAAACCTCCTCCCACTACACCCTGCGGGGGCTCCGGCCCTTCATGACCATCAGGCTGAGGTTGGCCCTGTCTAACCCCGAGGGCAAGATGGAGAGCGAGGAGCTGGTTGTGCAGACCGAGGAGGATGGTGAGTCAGCTTGGGTTTGCTTGCTTGGTTCCTGGGGTGAATGATTTCCGTTTCACAGCCACGTTCTGGAAAAGACAAGGCTCCTTGAAATGCCTGAATGTGATAAACATCAGTCTGAGCAGTTACCAAAGAGCTGTAGATTTAATTCTTCATGACCTGAACTACCCAACAACCACCCAGCAGCTTCCTTTGTCGTATGGGCAAATGTAATCCTGGCATTTGTTGATTTTTTTTCTTGTGCCTTCACAAGAAAAGATGTCCCAAAAGGAGTATAATGCCCTCCTTTCCAGAGTGTGGCTTTTCTTAATATAGAGCTTCTGGACATCATATTTTATATAGATCTCAGAAGCAAAATTAATTGAGTGTAAGCTCTTGTGTTCTGGATATAAAAGAAAAGTTTTCTGGAGGAACTGATGGAGTGTTTCAGTGTTATTATCCCACCTGAGCTATTTCAGACCAAGGACTCTCATGCACTACTGTCTAATATGTAAAATACAAGTTCTTCCTCAGCCTGAGCTATAAGAAGTTGCTGTCCTAAATTTCTCTCAGCTGAAGTGGCTCTTCCAGCCCAATATATCATATGGAGGGGACACGAAAGGATGGCAGATATTTCAGAAAAATGAGCAGGGTTTTATCAGACAGGCCTGGGAGTGCATTTAGTTACTTATCTTCCACAGCATTAAAATTTTGCTTGAGTGGGTGGATTTCTTAGCTGGCCTTGTAGCCTTAATGAAATATAAATCTTACATTGTTACTTTGATAAGCAAATCAGTCTCTCCTGTTGATAAAGGTGTGCAGCCCAGTGGCATCTCTGTGCCAAGGTGCAGTCTGGCTGTTTAGGTGGAGAGAACTTTGAGAAAAGAAGGACAAATTAAATTCCCCTTCTGCTGCTCTGCCATACTGAAATAAAAAACACACTGAAATTAGCTCCATACTTTCGTGGATTCTAATTTTATTTATCACTTAGCAGTTACATTGGAGTATCCTTGTTTGAACCAAAAGTGGAGAGTTAAGGCTGTGATAGTACCTTTGTAAGGGCAGTGCTTTGATGGATTTTAATTTTTAACTTTATTTGTTTATTTTTAACTCTGAGCTTCCTGTCTGATGGCCTTTTGGTGTCTTCTCATGTGTGTGCAGCTGGAGCTGGGGGTAGTTTTTAAGATGGTTTGTTGGACTTTTTTCCCCCTCTGTAGTTCCTGGACCTGTTCCCTTGGAATCCATCCAGGGAGGACCTTTTGAAGAGAAGATCTATGTGCAGTGGAAGCCTCCAAATGAGACAAATGGCATCATTACACTCTATGAGGTGAGAAGAACAGATTGTTGTCAAGGAATGTGTGCCACGGGGCCCTTTTCATATGTGTTTAAGCCAATCCTGAGCTCTCAGAGATTTCAGCAGGTGCTAAAAGAAGCCTGATTAAAATAGATAAGAATCTTCAAGATAGTCTGCTGCTTTCACTGAAAAAGTTTTCCAGTTTAAGAGAGAGAGAGAGAAAAGATTTCTTTCCAATATTTGTGGCAGAATGAGAGCCACACCTTCCCCATGCCTCAGGTGTTCAGTTCCTGCCCTTTTTCCTTCTGCAGTAGCTCCAAGGTGTGTTTTCTTTCCTTTTCTTCTTTTCTTGAGGTAAAACACTGTTAGGTTTTGTATCTAAATACTGTAACTAATCCCTCTTTGCCTTTTCAGTAGTCATAACACTTCAGGGCAATCTCAGCAGAATATAACCATTAGGTCTTATCTCACAGTGTTTATTGAAACTTTCAGTGATTCATCTGTCCAGCCCAACCATTTCCCTGATGCCAAACAAAGTGCACAGCAGGTTATAGGATGATCATTGACCATCCTGTGCTGGATGAGGAAAAAAAAACAATTAACTGTGATTCTAGAGTGGATCAGAGGGGATGTTGCTTGTTAAGGTAAGGAAGTGTTACTGCTGTCCTGTGGTTCTGGTGATACAATCCCTAATGTGGAGTAAAACCAAATACATAGAAAAGGAGGGGCTGCTTTGGAGGGTCATGTGAAATGAGAGACAGTCCTGCAAGAGAAGGCAAAGAAAGACACTTTGATTAAGCAGCAGAAAGTGTTGCACCAGTGCTGGCTGAGTGTGTGTCACTTTATGGCATTTACCATTGTAAGATCAGAAGAAGTGAAACAAAATTTTGCTTTTACAGTGATGTAAAAACCCCTCAATGTGGGCTCATGCAGCATTTTCTGACACAGAGGGGCAAAAACTCCCTTTTCTTTTTTTTTCCTGCTTTCTCTTTTATGCTGGGTTTGTGTACAGACTTATTTTGCAAAAAGCACAGCTGCACGAAGCAACTCTGCCCTCGCTAGGGAGGTTCTGCTCCTTCCCTTTCCCTGTCCAGCTTCTCAGTTCAGAACAACATGTCTTTCAAAATGTCCCTCCTAGATTTCCTTGCTAACACTGCCTCTATCACAGGGGTGGAAAAATGGGAAAAAATCAAGCAGGTTTAACATCAGTGAGCTCTTACACTACAAAGTGAACAAGAGAAAGCAACTTTCTCAGGGGCTTAAATGGGACTGCACTTTCAGGTCATGTCTCCAGCTGGCTCACAAAGGGTAACTGGGTTTGATATGGCAACACTAAATAGATGAATCCAAGCTCGTCTTGCTAATTTTGGGTCATTTCAGCCAGGCTGGAATCCGTGACGAAGCACAGAGTCATTTTTTGTTGGTCACTGTTGAGACATTCCTGGAAATGTGTGCAGGTTGCATGTCACCTGTCAGTACTAAAATAGAACTAACCCTCGTAATTTCATGGTTTTTGAAGGTGTCTGTGCAAGCAATTAGGCAATAAAGCTGTCAGGATTTTAAGGGAATTAAACTGAATAGAATTAGTTGCGAGTTTTTTCCTGGCAACACAGGTGACCTATAATAGAACACATTGAAAATAACCCAAGTCAAATGATGCAAATGATGTAAAAATAACTCCTTTTAATTTTTAAAGAAGCAGTTTCTTACTAAAATATTGCCTTGGGCTCAGCTCATTGAAAAGACTTGAGCAATCTGAGTAGCTTTTCTGGCTGAGCAGCTGCACAGAGACACTTTAATGCCTCCAGGGTTGTGATGCATCATGACAGTGCCTGTGCCCCTCAAGTCATATCATTGCTCAAGTCTCAGCAGAGGCACAAACAAATCTTTCTTTTCTGATAATGACTCTCTGCATATTTGGCAGCTGGAGACAAAGAGAAGTCAAGGTGAATTCAAACTCTTCCTCTTTTTCCTTTTACCCCTCATCTCCAAAAGGATAAAAATCCAAGTGTTGGAAACACCAGGAGAAGCAGAGTGCCTGAAGGTTGTCATGAATGGATTTTTTTTTTCCTTTCCTCTCCCTTCTTGCATGTGAAAATTCAGAGAACCTTCCCATTCTCCCTGACACCCTGAGCCAGGTTCATCAGCTGGAGATAAAAATAGAGGAGAGCTGTTACACCTAACCTGGAGAGATGGGCAGGGCATTCCCAGGGGAGATGGCTCCCTTTGGAACATGGGGGTCCATGCAGATGGAACCTGCACACTGTTAATGGTGCTCTACACTTGCAGACAGCAGAGAGGTCATGACTTGGCATGACAAACTCCTTGTCTGATAAACCTCATTTTTGTTAGACAGGGCTCAGCCATTCTCAGTATCACTGTGGCTTAGGCTGCTTTAACAAAGTTCAGCTGCCCTGCTGGTTCAAGATGAAAAGAAAGGCTGGTGGTTAATCTCTGGTAGGTTTTCAGTTCTTTCCCATGGCCCAGTTCTGATCCAGGGAGAAGCAGAAAGCTTTAACAAGAGCTCCCTCTCCCAGGGAGCACAGATCCTGGAGCCAGCACTGGCACTGCTGATCTGTCCCGGGAGACTCAGGGATGTGCTGATGAATTTGCAGCTCTCTGGAAGCTCTGAAATTGTGTCACTGTTATTAGAAAGAAAGAAACCCAAAAGCCTATCAACATTTATTAGAGAAAAACTCCCTGCAAAGTACTTATTAATTAATATCACTTTATGAATTTGAGTTAACCTGGGAGAGGCTGCCAAGAGTCACGTGTAGGTGTCATGCAAGTGATGGTCTCTCAAACTGCCCTGGGCACAAACCCTCCTAATAGAAAAAATAAAACCCCTCCTCCTTCTCTTCTAAATAATAGTTCCCTCCTCACCAACAAGATCTGATTTGTTATATCTGGATATTGTATTTTCTCTCTGGTTCTGTTAAAAAATTTTTGTTGTAAGCTTCTAAAATGCTTCCGTATAGTCACACTGTCTGTACTTAAATCCCACTGGCTTTTCTTTGGCACCAGCTTTGCTCTCAGGTCCCTAATCGTTCCTGCAGCTCCCTGCCAGAGAGGTGTCCACATCACCCAAATTGCCACTGCAGTTTGCATTCCCACTGCTCGTGTGCCAGCTGGGCTGGGGTTCAGCACTGCAACCTCCAGCAGGTTGTTTACCATGCAGAAGCACTAATTTTGTACAAACTGAGTACTTCTAAAGAGCCTAAACCAAATGGAAGGACCTTAATGAACCTTTTTTGACTTCTGCAAGTCTCTTCTGATTGATACTTATCCTTCAAAATGCCTTTTCATAGAGAAATAGCATCGCACTTAAAACTGGTTTAACCCCTCCCTGAGTTCAGCTGGAGAATTGTTTGTCTCACTGGGTACAGTCCCAGCTGGAGTTTTAAACAAAGAAACCTTCTTCTAGATCCCCAAATCAATATATAATTGCAGTCTGTTTCCAGGGAGCAGAAACCTCTTGTTCAAGGCAACTTGAAAAACTCCATGAATTGCAAGTCAGTTAAGCACTGTGTTGGAAAGGTTGGGATATGAGCTGTGTAGAAAGTGATGTACAGATTGCTCTGGGGTCTTGGGGAACCCAGAAAAGGTGTTAATAACACAAGTGTGTGGAGAGTTAGAAGGTGTCAGTTGGGCTGTCCTGTGAGGAAAACCAGGGGAGATGCACAGGCTGCTGCTGGAGATGAGCTGTGCAACAGAGGTAAAGCTTTTAGCTGTTCTGAAGTCCCCAGGTAGCTCCAAGGTGTGTAGGTACTTAGATGAGACAGGTGGATCAGTCTATGCTCAGAAACACAGCTGGACAGCAGGGATGGGCTTTGCTGGTACCTTGGGTTGGGTAAAATGCTCCCCAGAGATGGTCGTGCATGTGATGATCATGAAAGAGGCACTGTTAGAGCTGTCTCAGGGAGTGAGCTGTGAGTGGCACCATCTAATAATATTGTAGTAATCCTGTCCCACAACCATCTCCTGGCAGACTGAAAGCATCACATCTTGCTGAATTTTTTATTTCTTTTTTTTTTTTTTAACCAGTTCTAAAAACCTGCTGTGCTTTAAAATCCCTGATAATCAAGTGCTGCTCGTTGTGCTCACACTGTGTGGGAGTTCAGCTTCAAAGCCTTTTTGTGTACAAGGACATGCAGAGATTTTTTATTTTTTAATTTTTTCCCCCCTAATTGTTTGTAAAGTCAAACCATTATCAAGCAGCAGAAAGACTGATGCTGTCATTGGGCTGCAAGAGCAAGCAATCTAAGGTCATGGACCACCTTTGGCACTTAAATTCTGCTTTTAGATGACATGTCTCGAATGTTTGTTCCATAATGCAAATTGAAGTGCTTCAGATATTTCTATGGGCCCAGATATTTTGTGCTAACTTGCACCTCGAAAATGTAAGTAATCAAAACTTATTTATAAATATCTGCATTTTGCTGTTCCTTTGGGCAGCTGAAAGCTTACAGGTGCACTCAGTAAGTGATGTTGGCTTTTGCCTCTGTAAATACAATTTTTTTTCCCTGTAATCTATTTTTTGGAATTGTCCTTTTCTAGAATATTTTACCATTAAACAGGAAGAAGGAAAAGAAACCCCACCTAACACTCCTGTCTGAAATATTTGTCACATCACTAGTGGAAGGCACTGTTACAGGTATTGAAATCATAACAGCATTTAATCCCTAATATTCAGCTCCTTGGCTGGAAAAATGACTCTCAGACTATCGAATCCTTTCAGTGAGGCCTGTTTAAGGCAAAACAAACAACGAGCTGTCTTTTTAAACATTGTAAGGTGCAGTCTTGTAATCACTAATGCCCTCATCTTTAGGATTGTTCAATCCCAAGTGGGTTGCACATGGGTGTAGGGAAAAATAAGGATGCATTTGCAGCTTGTAATGAGCTGGTTCTCTCAGTCACTGTTTCTGAAACGCTGTAAATCTCTATTTAGATGCTAGGAATAATAATACAAGGGACTTTCATACACAATTTCAGCTCTTTAATGGGATGCTTGGAGCCTAGTACCTCTAATCCCA